ACAATACATTCCATGGTATGGGTATCATTGCAGGGATCACACCAGGAATACAGCATCAGAAGCCGGTGCCAAGGATAACAGCAAAAACTGAAGATCTGGTTGTTCTTGGAAATATTGACATTCAGGTGTTTCAAAGTCAATCATATGGGACTGAGGAAATCATGTACAGGGAGCTGAAGATATCTCATGTTGAAGATCCAACCTGGCAACTAGATCTGTTATGCAAACTGTCATGGAAGATGACCGAGCCAGTACCAGGATGGTCTGGTATGATGCAAATGGTGCAGAAAGGGTCATATCCTGGAAAGTCCTCCTTCACTTTCCTGCCAATGATAGACATGAATCCCACTGACCCCACATGTGTCTATTCAACAATGGTGTTTGTATGCAAAGAAGCAAAGAAATATGGAATTGATCCAATACTGACTTTTGATCAACCTTTGTTTTGGAAGGCACAGTTAATCCTTGCCAATGAACCGATGACTAGTGACTTGAGATCAGTTGTGTTGAGACTTGGAGGTTTTCATCTGCAGATGAGTTTCCTTGGTTCCATTGGCCATCTCATGGGGTCTTCAGGACTGAATGAAGTTTTGGAAACTGTTTACTCACCCAATGCCGTTGGACACATGATGACAGGGAAAGCTGTGTCACGGGCAGTTAGAGGACACTTCTTGGTTGACAAGGCCCTTAATGCACTGTTGCTTTCAAAGACTTTCGACACAGATGCTGATGAAACTGAACAAAACGGTGTTTTGAGTGAAAGCATACATTTATTTCACCAACTGCTGAATGGACACATCAGTACACAGGATGTTTGTGAACAGATCATTTTGGACAAACTTCAACAAACACTTGGTCAAGCAAAGTCTGCACTTCTCAAACACCGAACAGCTGCCCTTTGGATCCAATACATGGATATGTTGGATATACTCAGAAAATTCATCAAATCAGAGCGCACTGGAAATTGGCATCTTCATCTACAGTCTGTTGGAGACATGCTACCATATTTTGCTTCGGCAGGCCACAACTTTTACGTCAAGTCAGCTTACATCTACCTTCAAAGCATGCAAAATTTACAGACAGATCACCCAGATGTATACAGATTCTTTGCAACAGGTCATCATGTGCTCAGGAGAAGTGATCGTTATTGGGCCGGCTTGTCTACTGATTTGTGTATTGAACAGGTCCTGATGAGGAGCATCAAGACAACAGGAGGACTGACCCGAGGGCATGGGATGTCACCATCTCAAAGAGCACAATGGTTACTGTCCAGGCCGGCTTGTTCAGATTTGAATGCTGCCATGCAAGAGTTTGCCCAAACAGAATTCACAACCAGTGAGCAACACAAGGAAGTGACAAAAGCAAGACAATTTAGAGATTCCAGGGATGTTAAAACCATACTCACTTTTCTGGAAGACAGGAACCCGTTTCTGGAAGATCAAGCCTTGATAAATATCGCCACTGGTGTAGTTGCCGATTCTAAGGTTAATGTTGAGAATGCAAAAGAACTTGGCAGAAATGTTCTCAAATCGATGGTCAATCAGCAAGTACAAAGCTTTACCTTCAAGAAAGTAAATCAGGCTATCACCCTTGGCACGAAGGCAGTGAAGATTGATGATGAAATGATTCAGGTTGATCCCCAGCTCCTCTTCCAACGCTTCGTCACCGCAGCAGATGGATTGTTTGAGGACATTTCTGACATCTTCACCTACGAGCTTTGCAGCATACCATCATCACTGTTTGACTCATCAGGATTTCTACGAGAAGCACAGAAGCCAGCACTTGCAGATGCAATCTGGAGTTTAACTGTACCAGACAAGAACTTGTTACATGATGATGTTATGAATCATATCTTTGATGGAGGTTCTTTGTTGCAAAGATTGCCATGGTCGCAGGGAGCTTCATTTTCATCTCTTTGCAATTTGTATGTGAAGCATGTGAAGAAATATTCAAATCCCACAGTTGTCTTTGATGGATGTACAGAATCCTCAAGCACAAAAGATCACACACATCTGAGGCGTACTGGTGGCGTTTCCGGACCTGAAGTCAAATTCACGGAAGACATGAATCTAACATCCAAAAAGCAGCAGTTCCTGGCAAACACACAGAACAAGCAACGTTTCATTGATCTCCTTGGCAAGAAGATGGAGGAAGCTGGTATCCGGACATTGCATGCTCCTGGTGATGCTGACCTGTTGATCGTCCAGACGGCTGTAGCCTCAGCATTGGAGAATGTGACTGTCTTACTGGGAGAAGACACTGACCTGCTTGTGCTCCTGCTCTTTTATGCAGACCTCAACTCAAAGAGAATCTACTTCAAGTCAGAGGTTAAACTGGCAACAGACAAACGGAAGCGTATATGGGACATCACAGTGGTAAAGGAGAAACTTGGATTGGAACTGTGTCGCTTCCTTCCATTCATTCATGCCCTCACTGGTTGTGACACAACATCACGCTTCTATGGCATTGGCAAAGGTGCTGCACTGAAGAAACTGGAAACAGACCCCCACTTTAAACACCAGGCTGAAGTGTTTACCGGCAGTTCATCAAAGAAGGAGGTTGTTCAAGCTGGGGAGGAGGCAATTACATGTCTATACAGTGGTTTCCCGGGAGAAAGTTTGAACAAATTGCGATGTAGGAGGTTCCGTGCCAAGGTAATAAAGAGTACCTCCTGTGTTCAAGTACATGTGCTGCCACCTACAACAGCTGCTGCTCAATACCACAGTCAGCGAGTCTACCTCCAGGTTCAACAGTGGATCAGGCCGAACTGTGATTTGGTTCCACAGGACTGGGGTTGGACAACTGTTGAAGGACAACTTCATCCAAATCGGACACACTTGCCAGCGGCCCCAGAACCTCTTCTGAAGGTTATAAGGTGTAACTGCAAGACTGACTGTGACAATAAACGTTGTAGCTGTCGAAAACACGGCTTGCAGTGTTCACCCGGGTGTGGGAACTGTCTGGGTATCAGCTGCTCGAACTCACCAGCAGCTCCTCAAGATGACCTTAATGAGGACCTCTAGATGAGAATTTTTTAAAGTATGTATATAAATATGAAGCAGAAGACCTTTTAATTCGTCAAGTAAAATGTTTTCATTCAATAGAAATATTTAAATAAGTTATCTACGTGTTTTGGGGTCATATATGCCTTAGCCGTGCAATGTCATGAAAATTTTAAGGATGAAATTTTGAGAGTAGGGTGTGTTATGAAAAGCTAAAATTTGGAAATGTTCCCCACCTCTGTGAAAGTTAGACTTTTGATATGTGATGGAGGATACCTTTCTCTAATTAAAATACTTAAAACCATTTCTTTTGCAATTTGTTTGAGGTTGACCCATTTTCAGCCTTAGATTGACGTTTTGATAATAATAGTAATGCACTTGTTGAGCACCTAATGTCCAACCGATGCTGCTCAGTGGCGCTTTTACAGGGTCAGTGGAAATAGGAAGGTTTTCAGTTGTTTCTTGAAAGAGTCTAGTGAAGTGCAGGATCTAAGGTTGATAGGAAGAGAGTTCCAGAGAATAGGAGCGTTGGCTGAGAAGGCTCTGGTCCCCATGGCTGTCTTAGAGTCTGGCGCTGAGAGTTGGCATTTGCTCTGCGATCTGAGAGTTCTGTTTGGTTGGTAGTGATGGATGAGGTCTTTGAGATATTGTGGTGATTGAGGATCGCTCAGGGTGGAGTAGGTGATGGATAGGACTTTGTACTTGATACGTTAATGGATAGGGAGCCAGTGGAGGGACTTCAGTACTGGTGTGATGTGCTGGTGCGGCTTCGTTCTTGTTACGACTCGTGCAGCTCTAGATCTGTTTTGTACCCGTTGGAGTCTGTTGATGGAGGTTGTTCCGGAAATCAGAGAGTTACAGTAGTCAAGCCTGGAGGTAACATAACATCGGATAAGGAGTTTAGTGGTCTCGATGTACAGATAGCGCCTGATCTTCCCAACACGCCGAAGATGTAGTGACGCAGCCCTCGCTGTGGCCAGAGAGTGGGAGTCTGGTGACATGGAACTTGAGAATGTCACGCCAAGATTTTTCACCTGTTGTGATGGAGCAATGGTGTCTCTACCAACTGAGAGTGAGGGATTAGAGATCTTGTTTAGTTGTACCTTGGTGCCAATTATCATGAATTCGGTTTTGTTGTCGTTTAGCTGGAGAAAGTTGGTGGTCATCCAGGTGCGGAGGTCACTGATACACTGCTCTAGAACTGCAACTGATGTGGTGTAGTTCGCTTATTGTGGTTTAAGACAATAAGTATGTGTTTTAGCTCAGTTTTCTAACAAGAGTGAATGATAATTGAAACTGTATTTTCATGACAGGAGGGGTGCAAGTGTTTCATATGCTCCACACTTGTTACCTGCAGCACGTGCATCATGATTTGTTGCGTTTGAGACATGTAATAGGTTAATTTTTTCATTTATTTTCATAATGTTGTTATATGGCAATTTTTAAGATACTGAGAGTAGAAGTATTAGGTGTTGTGATACTTTTTTCCATGTGTATAGATCTGTTCGCAACATCACTCAACAATCAGTTGCTGACTTATATTATAAACAAAAAGTATGGGAACACCCAAAAATTTGTTAGTCATATATAAACTTAAACGTGGTGAGGTCATTTATACTCTAAGGTAAATGCAACTGTAAGGCCAGGGTTAAAGGTTAGCTTACGGGGTATATAAGGGCCTGTAACACTATCAGAAATCACTTGTTTCAAGATAACCTGACCCGTCAGTACCGGGTGTTCTTCCTACCTCTCCCTAGTTAGACATTTATTGTTAAATAGAATGTAGGTTAAGAGAGCAATTAGTGGGTTGGGGGAAATTTATACATACAGTAGGGTTTGTTTTGTAGGAGTTTATTTGTTAAGACTTTCTTTTGGCTTATAAAGATATTCAGGCGTGAGTGTGTGTGAGAAATGGATTTCTCCTGTTAAGTTTGGCTTAGTTTATTTTTTGTTGATCAATAAATTGTATTTATTTGGTAGATTTGAATTGTGTTGTTATTCCAAATGAACCCTTAGCAGTGCCACCAACCGCTAAACAACCATAAAATAAGGTTTATAATAGGTTCCGTTCTCTGAATATTCAGTGAAGATCCTTAAAAATAACACAATGAAAAGTCTACAACAGAGACCGTTTTCAGTATATTGAACCTTGTCAATCACATGAACCTTGTGTCACTGGGCGACCTACCTCAACAGAGGCACCTATTTCTATAATAACTGTTCACCTAATGATGGAATTGGGTGGACTTTGTAACATTAAAAAAATATTTAAAAAAACAAGTCAAATTTTTTTTTTACTGTACTATTACTTTCATCTACCCGTGTGGTCATTTCAGAGAGAATGATCGTCTCATCAAACTGTACTCACTCATGTTGATACTGCAGCACATATTGATGCTTCATATCTTTCTCTGACAGGGAGACGTGGTCGCTATACAGGTAGTTCTGGACTACAGATAGCATACCTGAGTGGAATTGAAACCCAACAACAGACACAAGATGCCTGGCAATTCACCAAAGATGACATCTTAGCCCTCACAGGTCCAGTGGTATCAGACAAGAACTACAGAGGAATTGACATCCTTCTCACTTCGCAGTGGCCCCAAAGTGTACAGAAATATGCTACTCCTCCCCAGGTACAAATTGACAAGTGGTTTGACTGTAGAACAGGGCTACAGATAAGGGGCATACAGGTGTAATGTAATGCAACGATATGCGTCACTGTTTTGCGATTGGCTAAAAACTACACGGTTCCTTTTTATATCCAGTCGGACCAGACATTTCGCTCATCACACGGTCGCACAGTTATTACTCAATTGTCTTCAAATACATTTACACTAAACTAAAATCTCACTTTGTTACTGAGAACTGCGCATACATTATCGCATGCAAGGCAGTAACATATACCATTATAGATTATGTGAAAATGAATTGGGATGAAACGTCATTGAATCGGGTCTAGCATCCAACAAGGAATGTCAAAAATACATAACATGTTTCTTTGGAAAAGGTGGGTCTAAATCGGGATCAGACGCATTTTCGTTGACGAAATTAGTAGAGGAATTATTCAATGAACTATTATGTTTGGTTACGCGACCAGTAGCCACAAGGGTGGGTTCAAGTTACAGACTGAAAAGAGCTGGCAGAAGTTGTACCCATGGTTGGAAATAGTGATGAATCATCCAGACAAACCACACCACCAACTCACTCACATAAAAACATGTCAGTACTCCTTCAAAATTCTCAGCACACCTCCACTTGCAATATGACTCCGATTGAGGTGAAAGTACACCCACACCCCCAAAAGTTATCTGGAGCCCTGAAGAAGTTATTGCTCAGTATCAGATATATCATGCTCAAAGTTGACTTTGCTAATGCCAAAAGTGACTTATACTAACTTTATAAATTGTATTACCTTACATGTACTGACTGAAAGCATGCTTATGTCTTGGTATGCTTTTGCATTAAAATAATATTATAAGATCTGTCATTCATTATTGCAGATCTGTCAACATCAGGGCTCGATTTAAGAGATGTTAACCTACTTGCACCAGGTACAACCTAAGATTAAGAAAATAGTTGCACCAGCCAAATTCCAGTTGCATTGTTTTTATTGCAATATGTAATGAAAGAAATATGCTATTGAATTAGTTGGATGTTTTTAGAAGTTTAGCTGCTCAAAATTGATCTGCACCTGGTATAGTAACCATGTTGCACTTTGTAATATTGGGTTTCACCAGTGCAAGTAACAAAGCACTAAATCGAGCCCTGAACATTGAGGAAATTTAGTTGCTTGCTTCACATTTGTGAATACTTTTGGCCTCTTTTGGCTGTCTTTGTTAGATTTTTAAAGAGTTCACAGCATATTATAGCAGGTTTACTGATTGACCAGAGCTAAATTCAGCAAAGAAAAAAGATAGTTATTACATATTTTTATTAACCTGTCTCCTTAATGTTTGATGGATTGAGGAAAAATATAAAGATGCAACCACACAAAATCATGGACAATTAGGGTATCTACTAACTCTGTATGCTGCATCATGTGTTTGCTTTAATATGAACTTCACAGCTGCCACTATTGGATTTGTCAATCTTATGATTGTGACAGATGTTGGGGATGTTTATACTGTAATTGGGTGATCGTCATAAGTTATTGCAGTGCTATATTTCACTTTAAAGGTCATCTACATTTTGTACTTGTAAAAGGACTTGTAAATAGTTCTTTTAAAGGTATTAGGAGTGTGTTATGGTGATTTCACATTAGTAAGACCAACTGACTAACCAACTGATCTTGTGGTCATGCTCGCTGACATGGTTGACACATGCCATTGTATCCCAACTGCGTAGATCACTGTTGCTAATTTACAGAATGCTGCCATATTTCTGGAAAATTGCTGAGTGTGGACTTAATCAAAAAGCAAAACAAACAAACAAAAGTAAGATAAACTAAATCACTACAACTGTATGTTCACAAAGTTGAGGTTCTCTATTGGTCATGTAAGAATGAAACCTTTCACTTGTCAATGTAGATTTATCTTATCACGTTTTTGTCAATTTTTCATGTATGATTCTTTACGGCTTCAGATAATTTATCAACATCAGGAGTATGTACTCCTTATTGTTTCAATAGGAGTACCGGAAAACCTTTAGAGTACATTTCGAGTACTTAATGGAATTTAATGGCGTATCAGTAATCATGTGTTTCGTTTCATATATGCACCACAACATTGCTACTCTTGTGTAAACAGGTAAGTACACAATAAAACAATATTTTTCAGATAAATACGTCTGTAAATGATTCTAAGACCGTACACCATTGTTGTGATGCGTATGTGGTACGTTTTCTAAATTATTTCCTACCGTATTATGTACATTTTTTATCCGTACATACACCAATATGGCCCTTATCTGGAGCCCTGATTCTTATCTTTTAATCACAAGCTAAATCTTCTGTGTTTTGTAATTCCAAAACAGAGTACGTTTTATCTCCATTTTACCATTATGGCAAAAGTGCTTTTAAAACGGTGCTCTCTTGGAATGTGGAAATACACATAGGTACAAGGTCTGCTTTTCAGAACATTTCGAAATAGGGTCATGGGTAGTTAGTTATACGTGCAACAAATAGTACTGATGTAAAAGATAAAAATATTCATAGTCTTGACAAGTTCAAAATTAGGGTTTAAAACATACAAATTTACAAAAAAGAAATTGACAAGTAACCTCGATGTTTGGACCAACCTTGTCATTTCTTGGAAATTGTCGCAACAGGACATTTCTTGAAAATGAGCATGACATTCCAATTGTGGAAACATTGTATAAGCAGTGAAAAGAATGCTTAATGAATTTGTTCCTTCAACAAACTTTATCAATTAACAATTTGGTTCTTTATTAAAAATGTGTAAGCCTTTTTAATTAGTTAACAATTATCCCAAGTAAAATAATACAAATTCAAAATGAGTGCCTCTCTACCCCAAACTTTTATTGTGGCTGAACTGGAACTACATCAAGGTTACTGTGATTTACTGGGGATGAACCTACTGGTACATCATGATTAGTGGTGTTCCGATGATCGAAAAAATAGAAAATCGGTCAAAAGAAGGAATAAAAATGATTAACAATTGTAAAAAAAATAATTTTGATTAATTGGAATTTTGTTGTTTTTGTATAACACCCTTGAATTAAGTATTTAATTTGATGAATATTCACGAACAAACATGGGCTCAACAGCGTAAAGCTATGCGCACTGTGAAAAATTTACCACTTTTATTGTTTAATTACAATTCCAGTGTCTTACTTGCATGCATGCATTTCATTGCATGACAGAATCAGTTGTAAAAAAACATTAATTAGAAAAAACCTGGGGGAAAACCATTAAAATTGGTGATTACATTAAAAATGTATATATATTTCGATTATAGTCAATAATCGTTCACCACAAGTCCTCCGATAATCGATAGTGGATTGCCATGGGAACCGCTAAATATAACCCATTTTGAGGCCTGCAGACAAGCTGGCATATGATGACACATTTTGTGACAGCGCCCTAACACAATAGTTCATGAAATGGATTTCATTGTGTTCAATAAACTGTTGTGACTTTTAAACTGTTGTAAACTGTTGTGCCTGTGCTGTGACTTTTAGGATGTAAGGACATTTGTGATTTTTTATGGCCTTTGGAAAAAAGCATTTGGTCAGTGAACTTTCGGATCCCCTCCTGACAAATCCTAACACTGGTGGTTGACAGAAATGGTGATAAATTTTGTGCTTGAAAGCTTTGGACAGGTTTCTCCTTTGCCAGCCCTCAACTGTGGAACTCTCTTCCAAAGGAAATCGGGAACACTTCATCGAAAGAAACTTTTAAGTCTCTGCTAAAGACCCATCTTTTCACTGCTGCGTTTCTGTAAAAGTTATATGATCTCTTTCCTTCCCCAATATTGTCACAGCGCCACTGAGCATCTCTATGGTGGATATTAGCACTTTATAAATACATTATTATTATTATTATTATTATTTATTTTTTATTATTATTATTATCTTAAAAATGTGTTCAATCATTATTTTGTCCTTCATAAATTTTCTTATCTTCTGTATTACTTTTATCGTTGTTAATTTCAGTGAGAAAATACGTTTCTCTAACATATTTCAGGTATGCAAGGGATCAGCTGATAGTTTTCCAGTGGTCAAGGTGTAGCTTGTTTGCAAGAAATTCAACGAATAAGTCAATTTGAATAAGAGGTGCAGCTCTGTTTGTAAGCCTCTCAATCAATACATGTCAGTGTTACCATTTCTATCTGTTCTTATAAACCTCCAGTGATGTCACTCTATTGTCTTGCCAGGTTCTCCTTATACAGAGTAAACCTCTACAAGCAGTTTCGCGGACATTCTCAAAGATATCCTGTGGATTTTCTACAGAATTGCCCTCATCCCGGGGATTTTGTGAGGAATAGCCCTTGACTTGGAATTAATATTTGCTTTGAATATTGATCTAACTTTGTCTTGCTTTCACTGAATTTGATCGTAAAATATCACATTATTGAAAATTTCCAATATATAGTGCCGATGCCTGGTTTCGAACCTACAACCCTTCGCTTATTAGGTTGGCGGTTTTATCCACTAGGCTACGAAGGATCGCTGTGAAGAATGAGATTGTCAGCATGAACCATGTGCTCCTCACAAGACGAGTAGTGCGGGCAGCACACGTGCAAGACACGGGTAGCGCGTGCAGAGCACGTGCATTACGCCTGCAAGGCAAGGTGTCGGCTGCCAGTCGCATCCCAGTTAATTTCAACAGTAAATACCAAATATCAAAATTATATCTAAGGATCCCTTGGCCTTGGCCAATTTTCTCTGCAGCGGGCTTACTTTTTCAAACAAAACCTCGGAGTGGGTTTTGATCCTTTACAAATAGATCTGGCATTCCATGCAGTGAAACACTCATTTAAGAGTGAAGTATTGGAAAGAACTGGGTCAGAAATGAAAGACTGATGATGAGCTCTTGCAGTGGCTCTATCCAATGCACTCAGGGTCAGTAATCCATGGATTACCTAACTTTGGTTCATAATCTTACGGTTTGTACAAGAAAGATTGTAATCTTACTTTAACGGCGGCTTAGCTGATTGGCTACTGTGAGAATGCGGAGCCAGTAAAGGGAGGTAATATAATTATCGGGCCAAGCTGTGGATGCATCCAGGGTATAGTGGAGAGTGATCGTAACATATACCCTGGAGAGTATCAAGGATGGGTCTCACCATGGTCAGGCATTATTCAGTCTTGTAACACAATAACTTACAGAAGGGGTCGCCTTGCAAACCGTGCGTTCGAGTTGAGGAAAACACACAAAGTGCAAACCAGGATCCAGGAGAAAGGAATAGACATCTTTCTACAGATCAGGAAGAGCCCCACTGATCCTTGGAGGACAATCGGAATCGAAAAGACCCCGTGATTGGAATACTGGCGATGATATGACAACTGAAACAGGACATAACACTTAAAAATAGTACTGGATACATATATTCTTTTTGACTAGATTTCTATTTTACACAGAGCTGGGCAGGTGATAAGGCAGTAATCAAGTGTGCGCATCTTTAATTAGGATGTTCAACCGTGAAAGTGTCACTAACTTGTTATTATCTGTGTATCTGAGACAGACTATGACTCTTCTGTGTGTTTGTAAACATCACAACGTGTTTTTCTATTTTTAGCATATATTCACTGCAGATTTGACATCCGGGGGCTATTTAGTTATCTGTCAACAAACAGTCCTTACGTGAGCTGCAAACTAACCTTTTCGACAAAAGTAAACCTCTCCTATTTGTATATGCATTTATGTACAACCTATGTCATTTGTTAAGCGGACACGCATCTGCTTGAGGTTAACTCAGTCAGACTGGCAATGCGACTTGTCAATCATGTCCGACCTCGACCTTGAGGTCATGTTTATGCTCTTATCAGCTGGCACACTGACTGCTGTAAGTTTCTACATTGGGTTTGAGAATAGAGCATCAATGCCTCTATTTTGGCTTTTATTTCTGTACATATTTTTGGCTTTCTCTTGTGTTTTCTACCAAACACATGCAGCGCCTGTATGTTCACTACTTTAATTTTCTTTACATGTCTGTTCTGTACCACTTTATAGTTATGTTAAAGAAAAACTCTGTTCCCACTGTTTGAAAGCTGAACCAATATATCATTCACAACCAGCTTTTCCCTTTATATCCTGTATGAACTATCTTACTCTAAATCATGTTAATTTTAAAAAAATATGTTTTTTTGCATCTGACTGTGGATAAAATTAAGAAAATTAGAATGGTTTCAGCTAACTGTAGAGGCCTAGCTGACACTAATAAAAGGAAAGAAGTTATGGATCTATACAGGAAAAAATTATATTCAATAATTTGTTTGCAGGACATCCATGTGGCTAAAGAAGATGTAAATAAAATTTAAAATGAATGGGGTTTGCAAAGTATAATTGCACCCTTTAGATCTAACTGTAGAGGGGTGGCTATACTCTTTAATAATGACATTGATCTTACCATACACAGAACATTAGAGGATGAAAATGGTAATTATGTTATTGCTGATATAACTGTTGACGATAAAAGATTCACCCTTACAAATTTATATGGACCTAACAATGATGACCCAAATTTTTATCTAAAACTTTTCAACAATATTTGTAATTTTGATAATGAATCCATAGCTATTGTAGGGGATTGGAATTTGGTCATTGATCCTTCAGTTGATTTGGAAAATTATAAAAATATCAACAATCCTCAGGCTAGAAATATTGTATTAGACAAAATTGAATCCCTTGATCTTATAGATATTTGGAGAGAACTGAATCCTGATTTAAGAAAGTATACCTGGTGGAGAAAAAGGCCTAGACAACAAGCAAGGTTGGACTTTTTCTTAATTTCACAAGACTTGGTTAATATTTCACTTGATTCTGATATCATACCTGGTTATAAAACAGATCATTCAGCCATTAGCTTTACTTTTTCAAACACTATCAACCAAGAAAGAGGGAGGGGTTATTGGAAATTTAACACTTCCTTACTCTTACATCCTGAATATGCTGATTTAGTAAGATCAATCTTGAGGGATACAATTGAAGAATATTTAGATACTGAACATAATGGTGAAAATGTTGATGATTCGGATATTAAATTGAAGATTGATGATAGCTTATTCTTGGAAACTTTTCTGATGAAAGTAAGAGGAAAATCAATCTCTTTTTCATCTTTTCTCAAAAAGAAAACAATAAATAAGACCAGTGAATTGGAAATTAAAATCAAAGACTGTGAAGATGATATTAGAAAAGATTTCCAAAATATTAATGAATCCCTACTAGCTGACCATACAAAATTAAAATTGGAACTACAACAAATTAAAGAAGAAGAGATAAGAGGAATTCAACTTAGAAACAGAATCTTATGGTATGAAGAAGGAGAAACAGCAACAAAATACTTCTGCCATTTAGAAAATAGAAATTAAAGCAAAGCAATAAATAGAGTTATTACAGATAAGAATGAGGAAATTACTGACAGTAAATCAATATTAAATGAACTGAAAGAATTTTATAAAAAACTTTATTCTTCAGACAAGAATTATAAAAATGATGACCACTTAGACAATGTAATAATTCCAATCTTGAGTGACCAATTTAGAGACAATTTGGAAAAAGAAATAGATATGAATGAAATATCATTTGCAGTAAAAAGTATGAAGAATAACAAAAGTCCTGGAATTGATGGATTTCCTATAGATTTCTTCAAGTACTTTTGGAAAGAACTCAAAATTTGGATTTTTAGATTTATCAATGATGTTTCAAGAAGAAATAAGATGTCTCTTACCATGAAAAGAGGAGTTATCACTTGTATACCTAAAGCTAATAAAGATAGGGCCTTATTAAAGAACTGGAGACCAATTACTTTATTAAATGCTTTGTATAAAATAATTAGTGCATGTATCTCTAACCGGTTAAAAATCACCCTAGACTCTTTGATACATAATAACCAGACTGGATTCATACCGGGTAGAACTCTTAGTGAAAATACAAGGTTATTATATGATCTTATATTTGAAACAAAGAAAAGAGATATTCCTGGTCTGCTGATTTTAATTGACTTCGAAAAAGCTTTTGACACAGTTTCTAAAGAATTTATCAACTCTGTTTTACTAAAATTTGGTTTTGGGCCACAGATTATACGCTGGATTAATTTATTAACTTATGATACAACATCATGTGTTATTCAGAATGGACATCTCTCTGATTTCTTCCGAAATGAGTGGGGTTCCAGGCAAGGTGACCCAATATCACCATATTTGTTTCTTTTTGTAGCTGAAATCCTTGGATGTATGATAAGACAAAATGATGATATAAAGGGTATTGTAATTGATGTTCAGGAATATAAATTAGGACAATATGCTGATGATACTGAATTATTTTTGGATGGTTCAGATGAAAGTTTGTATGCTGCTATTGATGTCATTAATACTTTTTACAATATGTCAGGGTTAAGGATAAATATCGATAAGACTAAAGCAATCTGGATAGGCTCAAATGCAGGTAGCAGAGATATGATTTGTGAAGATTTGAATATAGAATGGCAAAGAAAGGAATTTGAAGTTTTGGGTATTAAATTCACACCTGATTTGAATGACTTATGGGTAATCAACACAAAAAAAAGACTTGAAGAAATTAATAGATTATTGGCAACATTGAGAAAAAGACATCTCACACTGATTGGCAAAATCACTGTAATTAAAACATTGGCTCTTTCAAAACTGGTTCACATTTTCAATTCTTTACCTAATCCACCTGATGAATTTATCACTTCCCTTGTGAGACTATTTTTCAGATTCATTTGGAACGACAAAAATGATAAAATTAAACGGAACACTTTGAAAAAGGATTATACAGAAGGGGGTTTACGCATGATAGATATTAAAACCTTTGTTAATGCCATGAAATTATCTACACTCAGACTCTATTTGAGAAAAACAAATATGAGTAATCCATGCAATTTTCCATTAAATGATATACTAAAACATGGAGCAAATTTTCAGAATATTGTTGAAATTGATAATCCTTTTTGGAAAAATGTTTTATTGGCATGGAAATTATACTGTAATAAGAATACCATAGAAGCAGACAACATTAAAGGAATTTTAGCACAACCTTTATGGCTGAATAATAATTTCAAAAACCCACATCACTTTATCAGGCATTGGGCTAAAAATGGAATTGTAACAATTAAGGACCTTTGTAATGAAGATGGTTTTATGCCTCTTGAAGATCTGAAGTTCAAATTTGATATTAGAGGTACATATATGGATCTTCGATATGTTTTCTATATCATACCTGAATCATGGAAATTGACCATAAAACAATACAGAAATATACATAACAATGGTCTGGATGATAACTTTCTTTATAAAGATTTTATGGATATGAAAAAAGGTTCAAGATTATTTTATGATAAACTCTTATCTGACAATATTAAACCTCATATTTGCCTAAAATGGGAAAACTTATTTTACGATATTGATTTTGATTGGCATATGATTTTTAATATTTGCAGAAGGAATATGAAAGATGTAAAACTTTTAGACTTTCAATTTAAATTTTTGCACAGAATTATTTATACAAAAAAAGAACTTATGAAAATGAAACTGGTTGACAATGCAGTATGTAGCCTTTGTAATGTTGATAGTGAAACTTTATGTCATGTATATAGGGAATGTGTTGTAACCCAAACCTTCTGGAAGGAACTTGAAAACTGGATAATCCAAAATATACAGAAATTTGAAATAACAAAGACCTTGGTTTGGTTTGGAATTTTGGGTAATAAGCCATTACTAAATCATATAATCTTATCTGCTAAAAAATATATATATACTTGCACTTTGAAGAAAATAATTCCAAAAGTTAATAATTGTTTAAAAATTTTGAAAGACATTTATACGGTTGAAAATTTCATATCCAGAAGGAACAATAAATTAGATCAATTTTCAGACAAATAATTTCCTTTATTCTCAATATTTAATTTCTGACGTAATCTTTAATGAAAGGGGAATAATTGTTACTGGAGTATATTCTCTCTATGCTATCAGTTGACCTAACATTTTTGTTGAACCCAATGAACTTTGATCATGTATTTATGCATTTATTGCTTTACCTTATATGCTTGTACTCAATTATGGGAACAAATAAAAAGATTTTTAAAAAAACCAAAAAAAACTTACAGAAGTCTCAGTACTATTCATGTAACGGGAATGTATATTGAAACATATATTTAACCCAGATTTAATGTAAATATACATCTTAGAAATCATCAGCTTTTGAGGAGGTTACCAATATTTGAAGACTGTGCCAAAGTAGTGTTTATTAAGATGGTGGTTTCGGACAAATTGTTCAAAGTTTGTTGATGCTTATTTGTAAAATTAGCGTAAATTCATATTAAATTGCACACTGGTTTGCAGGAGGTGAAAGCTTCAGGACATTTCCATGTGTGTTTTCCTAAACTTTTGTTATGACTTTTACCAAATTTTGAAGCAACTTTGATATATTTTTTATGACACTAGATAAGTTTCTCAGAAAAGGAAATAGATCAAAATTAGTGTTATGTCCCTTAGGGATATGGTCAGATCTAATAAAACAAAGACTATCATTGTTTAAGAAGCCATAAAGTCAATATGTAATTGTATTGACAAAAAGCTTTGAACTTAGAATATATTATTTACACCTTATTTACATTAGTAGTTAGTAGGGACGGTGGGGTAGTCTAGTGGTTAAAGCGTTGGCTCGTCACGCCAAAGACCCGGGTTCGAATCCCCACATGGGTACAATGAGTGAAGCCCATTTCTGGTGTCCCCCGCCGTGATATTGCTGGAATATTGCTAAAAGCGGCGTAAAACCAAACTCAGCCAGTCAGTAGTAGTTAGTAGTTAAGTATCCTCTGAAGAAAAAGACGTATATTTGTATTTTGTGTAACATTTTATTTCAATCCATGTTTACATGTTTGGACAACTGTGGATCCTCAGTTCAAAGATTTTGCATCACAGGTTTCCTATTTCTGGAAGATGTGTTCAGTGTACAGGTGCAGACTGTATCTTGGATCTTCTTTGTGTTCTGGTGCTGTGACATACTTATACATAAATGCTGGCAGTTCATGAAGTCCAGTATTGTGGAATTTGTAAATTAGGACTCCACAACAAAGTACAAATAGAAAAATAAATTGGAAATGATGATTAAAAATGGATTTCCTTATATTCAGTGTCATTTTAGGATGGTGTACAGATTTTGAAGAGATAAATTTTACTGAGAATTGCCGCAGATTAGCTGCTGCATATTTTCTTCTGGGTGTGTCTAGATACATCCATGGAAACATACTGTATACAAGCCTAATCACCTTGTCCAGATTCCCAAATAAGATTAAATAGGTTATGCTGTGACTGATTTGTTTACATTGATATGTACATTACATGATGCCATTGTGATTAGTCAGTGGTTGTCCCCCTAACGTCAAAAACAAAGTGAGCGGGGCTTATCGGCCGGGACTGGATCTGTCTATTGGCCTATCACTTGAATAATCTGAACAAAACTCAGCCAGGTGCACCTACGCCGATAAAATTGCAGCCCTGGAAATGCTTTCTTTCTGGACACCATGACGCTGATGTTTGATCATTAGGTATTTGTGGCAGAGATTCAATGGCCTGCAGCTTCAGGGTCTATCTCTTTAAATATCCAGATCGTCTCTGATGCTCGGCGCAACAGTTCAAAGACACATGATATACAGCTGACAACAGAGATTTACCATTGAAATCTTCTTCACTGGACAAGGTTTTCCAGAGATTCGCTGTAAAAGTGCCAGAGCACCTGACAATAAAGGAGAAAAGAGTTTGACTAGTCTGTCCCGATAATCAACAACATTCAAGGGCTAAATGAGACTGATGCAGCTGAATACCCAACCTTAGTTAAATCATAGATTACTGGTGACATATTCCAGGTACTACATGGGTACATGGATAGAATGACCAAAGTTTTCTTTGATTAACAAGCTTTGTTGGTGAACCTCTCAGCACAGTTCACACTCTTAAGAAGGGATCGTCACCTCCATCAGCTATGATCAGTGATGTCTAAGTGTCTTTTTGTCAACATTTTCAGTAAATTGGGAGATCATAACGACTGACCAGTGGATCGTTAAGGTCACCAGCACAATCCAAGCTGCAGACTCTGTCAAGAATCTTGGAGTTCACATTGAGAGCACTCTCTCAATGGAAAAGCAGGTAAATGCCATCAGTAAATCCTGTTTCTACCAAATTAGGAACCTTGGAGCAATCAGACCATACATAACAGAGGACTGCTGTAGAACATCGGTGCAATCTCGTGTAACATCTTGTCTGGACTATGGACACGCCCTCCTGTGTGGACTGCTCCAGTCTCTCATATCTCGGCTTCAGAGAGTGCAGAACAGTGCGGCTCGACTGATAACAAGGTCCCGTAAGCGTGACCACATAACTCCAATTCTGATGGACTTACATTGGTTGCCTGTGCACCTCTGATGTCAGCACAAGGTGCTCATATATGCTTACAAGGCGCTGCATGACACAGCTCCATGTTGCCTCCATGAACTCGTAATCCCATACCGATCGACATAATCCGTCCGGTCCCAAACAGCTTCACTCATCACTGTACCAAAAACAAGAACTTTGAAATATGGTGACAGATGCTTCAGCCAATTAGCAGCAATAATCTGGAACATTCTTCCTGCCACAATCAGACTCAGAACACTGTTAAGTGACTTAGAGTGGTTTTATGATATGTTAAGCCATATAGGGGGGCTATTAAAGTTCGCATATTATTATTATAAAAGAGATAACAACTTTCAGTGGCGGTGACAGCGATAAACAAGCTCTTAGACAAGGTCCTAGGACTTACTCTCGTTATGTTTTTTATGTAGCTTATCTTTATGAAAACAGATTCTGGTATGATAGACCTCTAAAACATTCAACCCGTGAAGGTCTGGGTTAGAATGTACCTTCAGTAACCCATGCTTGTCGTAAGAGGCGACTAACGGGATCGGGTGGTCAGGCTCGCTGGCTTGGTTGACACATGTCATCGGTTCCCAATTGCGCAGATCGATGCTCATGCTGTTGATCACTGGATTGTCTGGTCCAGACTTGATTATTTACAGACTGCCGCCATATAGCTGGAATATTGCTGAGTGTGGTGTAAAACTAAACTCACTCACTCACTCTACAACATCCAGCGTGTTATT